GGAGGAGGAACGGATGGTAGGAAACAGGACGAGAGAGTCCCTGGGAGAAGGAGGGATGTGGGAAGAAGAGGAGGGAGGAGCACCGAGAAGGAGGTAGGAAGGTCGAGGCAACAGGAGAGGGAGGAGGATGAGGAAGGTAATTAGAGGGAAAGGAATTTTGGGGAGTAGAGGTTGGATGAGAGAGGAGAAGGTGGAATGAGGCCAGGGTGAACCCACGACGCATAAACGATGTTGCAAGAAGACCTCCATTCGAGTTCCCTCTTCACAGGTCTTTGCAATCTTCTATTATGTTTGTTGTGTGCGTATGCATGTACACATACATACACATATACATATGTATATATGTATATATACACATATATATATACATATATATATATATATATATATATGCTACCGGAGAAAAGCCCCAAACAGGGCTATAGGGCTAGGGGGCGATAGGGCTTCAGGGCTATTGAGCTATAGGGCTATAGAGCTATAGGGCTATAGAGTTGTAGGGCTATAGGGCTATTGGGCTATTGGGCTTAGGGCTATAGGGCTATAGGGCTATAGGGCACCCCCGGGCACCCCCAGGCACCCCCAGGCACGCCCAGTCACCTGGGCACCCGGGCACCCGGGCACCGCCGGGCACCCCTTGGGCACCCGGGCCCCGGGCACTCCCGGGCACCCGTGCACCCGGGCGTGCAGCGAAAATCGGCGACAAACCTAATCTAACCATATGAATCCGCTAGGACCCCTACAGAGGCAAGCTCTGATTGGGGAATATATAGAAAGAGAAAGAGAGAGAGAAAAGAGAGAGAGAGAGAGAGAGATACACAGAGAGAGAGAGAGAGAGAGAAAGAGATAAAGAGAGAAAGAGAGAGAGATAGATCCAGCTGCCTACGGCAAGTCCCGCCACCGTGCCTGGGTTGTGGTCTATAAGCCTAGTGAATGTTCGTTGGGATTTCGTGGGGGGCCTCACTGGGGCCTCGTGGAGGCAGTTTTGCGGCCTGGGTTGTGGGGCCTTCTTGGGCCGTCTTGGGCGCCTCTTGGGCCCGCTTGGGGCGCTGTTAGGCCATCTTGGGGCCCTCGTGGAGGCCTCTTGCCGTTTTGGGGTGGTTTTTGGGGCCGAAAAGGCGAGAACACCACAAAAACGCAAGGACAATACATGATTTGTTGTCTTTTGGGGCCCACCTTGGGAGACCTCTTGGAGGCCTTCTGGGGCGCCTTGGAAGCCCCTTGCGCCATCTTGAGGCCATCTTGGGCGTCTTCGAGCGATCGTTCGGCAACTCGGGACCCTCTCGGACCGTCTTGAGGGCCTGGGCCGTCATAGAGTCTTTCGGGAGCCTCAGGGAAGCGCCATGACCGCCCAGGGACCCCCTGGGACTATGGCCGGTGCGCGCGGCGAGGTGCGGTGGAGCGAGGGAGGGGTCTTGTGAAGATTACAGAACCCTACCAGACAGCACTTGGCATCCTAGCACGCCTGAACGTACCAGGGGGCACGGTGGCGGATAAATTCACTGCTGGGAGTGCCCCAGTAACAGACAAACGTTCGAGAGTCCTCAATCGTGCCGCAACACCATTCCTGGGAGTTCAACGCCCGAATTACTCTGTGTCCCTCAATAGTTCTGGGTCTGAGGACTACAGGTGCCCTCCAGACTACCCAGGACTATATACCTTCTCCCCAGACTGCAGGTACCCCTCCCCGGACTACAGGTACCCCCCCCGGACTACAGGTACCCCCCACCCAGATTACAGGTACCCCCCCCCCCCCGGACTACAGGTACCCCCCCAGACTACATCCACGCGTGCGTTGACGCGTGAATTCCCGTTCCCCCCCAGACTGCAGGTACCCCCCCTGGACTACAGGTGGCCTTCCCGCGGACTACAGTTGCTCCACCCCAGATTACTGGTACCCTCCCCGGACTACAGGTACCCCTCCAGGTACTCTCCCCAGACTACAGGTAGCTCGAGAATTATTGAGGGACACAGAGTAACGTGACATTGCGTCCTGACAGTCCTATATCGTGCCATAACACAAGTCGTGGGCCGTCAGCGCTGAGAATCAACGTGAATTTTGCGTCTGGACACCCTGAACTCTTGCCAGAGCACCTTTCTGGAACCTTCAGCCATACGATTCCTTGAAGCCGTCGTGAGCTTTTAAGACGAGTGTGCGCGGTGCTCAGGCTAGAGCCACATGAAAAGGAGCCGCCCTCCAGCCTGGAAGCTGTTGCAAACCTGTAAAGTGTCTTAGGCGAAGCGCCTGGCCCGCCCTACCGACATGGCTTGGGGTGCGACAGGAAGTTTGTTTTCAGGAGAATGGGTTGATACCGAGGAGGACGTCGAATGTCTTCCTCTCTCCTCGCTTCCCCTAGCTAGAATCTGCTCAAAACTACTCTCCTTAATCCTCCTGGGCATCATCCTGGTCCATTTTCGGAGGAGGCGGAGAGCCTCAGAAGTTTCGAGAGACCCCTGGAGGCCTCAAGAGGTCTCCATAAGCATCTGTATGCCCAAATGGTTCAAATAACCAAGCACCTCGATTAATAGGAGGAGGACGAGGAGGAGGATGAGGAGGAATACCAATGAAGACAATACTATCCATATTGATTTTCATAATAGCAACATCTAAACCAGTAAGATAGCCATGCTTCGAGTGCATTTTATTAATCGTTTTATGGGTAGCAGCAACGTTAATTATACCATTACTAATGTAAGTAATACAACATTAGCATGCTTATGGCTGATATCAGTGATACACTACTAGTTTTATTACTACTAGTACTACAAAACTACTACTACTACTACTACTACTACTACTACTCCTGTTACGACTACTACGACTACTACTACTACTACTACGACGGCGACGACGACGACGACGACGACGACGACGACGACGACGACGACGACGACGACGACGACGACGACGACGACGACGACGACGACGACGACGACGACGACGACGACGACTACTACTACTACTACTACTACGACTACTACTACTACTACTACGACTACTACTACTACTGCTACTACTACTACTACTACTACTACTACTACTACTACTACTACTACTACGACCACGACTGACAATATGAATCGTATTTCTAGTAGTAGATTTGTTATCAATACTAATAATACGCATGAGCAGCAACAAAAGTACGACTACTCATATTAATAATTTCAGTCATAATAATATATCTTTTTGTGTTACTACTATTAATACTCGTAGTATTAACATGTACACTATGAATATCAAGAGTAGTAGTATGATCAATACTGCTAATAGTGACGATCGTAATCGTATACACTAATAACGAACGTTAGACATAATGCTCATTGCAGTCGTGAGCGACGACGAGTAGAAGGAGGAGGAGGAGCAGGAACAGGTGCAGGAATAGGAGGAGGATAACGAGGAGGAGGATGACTCAGATACCCGGTGTCTCGTCTTCTTCGAGTCGCCAGACCCCAGACCTCTCGACCCCTTCCTTTCCCCAGGGTTGTTTTTATTCCGAGTTGCTTTTGACACTCCCAGTGCCCGAAAATGCCCTGCAGAGTGAGATCCCGAACGGCTAAGACGGGGCGTCGAGATTTTCTGGAACCGCCAGATGTCTCTGGGCTCGGGAGTTCACATTGGAGCCCTGTGCCAGTCTGGGGGTGCTTGCTGGAGGCAATGCGCAATTTCGAGGCGAATGTCATTCGTGGCGGCTAGAGCGCCCCATGGAGGCCGCACATGGGCGACACGCTTCAAAACGCAAATGCTTCGAGGAGGTGGAGGAGGAGGGGGAGTAGGAGTAGGAGTAGGAGTAGGAGTAGGCGTAGGAGTAGGAGGAGGAGGACGAGGAGCAGGAGGAGGTGGAGGAGGAGGAAGCGGAAGAGGAGGAGGAGGAGGAGGAACAAGAGGATGATGATGATACTGATTATGATGATGATGATGATGATGTTGTTGATGATGCTGATGCTGATGCTGCTGCTGCTGCTGATGATGATGATGATGATGATGAACATGATGACGATGTTGTTGATGATGATGATGCTGATGTTGCTGATTACGATCATGATGATGGTTGATGATGCTGATGATGCTGATGCTGATGATGATGGTGGTGATGGTGATGAGGAGGAGGAGGAGGACGAGGAGGAGGGGCATGAGGAGGAGGAGGAGGATCAGAAGGGGCAGGAGGACCAGGAGGGGGAGGGGGGAGAATGAGGAAGATGAGGAGGAGGATGAGGATGAGGTTGATGATGACGATGATGATGATGATGCTGATGATGATGATGATGATTCTGATGATGCTGCTGATGATGATGGTGATGATGATTGCAACCGTGATGCTGATGATGCTGATGATGATGCTGATGATGATGATGATGACGATGCTTGATGATGCTGATGCTGATGCTGATGATGATAGTGATGATGCTGCTGCTGATGATGATGCTGATGCTGACGATGACAAGGACGATGACGATGACGACGACGATACTGATGCTGACGACGATGATGATGATGATGATGATGATGATGATGATGATGATGATGATGATGATGATGATGATGATGATGATGATGATGATGATGATGATGATGATGATGATGATGATGATGATGATGATGATGATGATGATGATGATGATGACGACGACGACGACGACGATGATGATGATGATGATGATGATGCTGATGACGATGACGATGCTGATGTTGATGATACTGGTGTTGTTGATGATGATGGTGATGATGATGCTGCTGATTATGCTATTCATGATGCTGATGATGGTGGTGCTGCTGCTGTTGTTGATGATGATGATGACGTTGATGATAAGGATGCTGATGCTGCTGCCGATGATGATTGATGGTTGATGGTTGAGGATTGATGATGATTCATGATGCTGTTTACGATGATAATGATGATACTTATGTTGATGATGCTGATGCTGATGCTGATGATGATGCTGATGATGGTGATACTGATGATGCTGTTGACAATGATGATGTTGATGCTCTTGTTGATGATGATGCTGATGCTGCTGATGATGCTGATGATGATGATGGTTGGTGATGATGGTTCGACTGTTGCTGCTGCTGCTGATGATGATGCTGACGATGATGATGCTGATGCTGATGCTGATGATGATGATGATGCTGATGATGATGCTGATGATGATGATGATGATGATGATGCTGCTGCTGATAATGATACTGATGATGCTGCTGCTGTTGATAGTGATGATGATGCTGCTGCTGATGATGCTGATGATGATGATGCTGATGATGATGATGCTGATTATTATGATGATGATGACGATGATGATGATGCTGATGCTGATGATGATAATGATGCTGTTGCTGCTGCTGATGATGATGATGATTATGATTATGATGATGTTGATGATGATGATGATGCTGATGATGATGATGATGATGTTTGCTGCTGATGATGATGATGAATGATGATGATGATGATGCTGATGATGATGGATGATGATGCTGATGCTGATGCTGATGATGATGATGATGATGATGATGATGATGATGATGATGATGATTGATGATGATGATGATGACGATGATGACGATGACGATGACGATGATGATGATGATGATGAGATGATGATGATGCTGATGATGATGATGATGATGATGATGATGATGATGATGATGATGATGATGATGATGATGATGATGATGATGATGATGATGATGAGGAGGAGATGAGGAGGAGGAGGAGAGGAGGAGGAGGACGAGGAGGAGGAGGAGGAGGAGGAGGAGGAGGAGGAGGAGGAGGTGAGGAGGAGGATAGGAGGAGGAGCGAGGAGGGAGGAGGAGGGAGGAGGAGGAGGCGGGAAAGGAGGAGGAGGAGGAGAAGGAGGAGGTGGAGGAGGAGGAGGAGGATGAGGAAGAGGAGCAGGAGCAGCAGCAGGAACAGGAGCAGCAGCATTAACAGCAGCCGCGGCAGGTGCCCCCCCCCTCGCGCGCCGCGGCGGCAGCCGCGATGGGCAGCGAGGGGCTCCCGTTCCTGCGGGACTCTATGGAGCGCCCCGCCGCCGCCACGTCCTCTCCTCCTCCTCCTTCTCCTCCTCCTCCTCCTCGTCCTCCACCTCCTCCTCCTCCTTCTCCACCTCCTGCTCCTCCTCCTCCCCCTTCCCGTCGCCCTCGCCATTTCCGCACTCCCTTTTCTCCTCCTCCTTGTCCGCCTCCTCATCCACCTCCCAGGTGGCTCGCGGCGGGGCCGCAGCCGTCTTGACCCGCGGCGGGGCACGGGCGGCCCCACCGCCGCGCTAGCTCCCAGCGCCGCCTTTCGGGCGGGCACGACTGCGGACCGCGGTCGGCCTCGCCTGTCTGGTATCGGCGGCTTCGCCGACGCCGAGCGCAGGCGCGCGAGCAGCTACAGAGGTTGCAGCAGTACCTTCTACTGGACTCGCCCTCATGCGTGAAACGAAGGCGAGATCAGGCGGCAAAGGAAAGCCGCGGCCATGAGAAGGCCCAGCAGGCGGAACAGCACCTCTTCGGGCTCGAGGCTTTGGAGGAGCTGGGGGATGTGAGATCGAGGGGTCCGACAAGGAGGAGGCGGCGAACAGGAAGCGGGCCCTCCAGCATACATTCAGGGAGCTGGCCACCACGGCGTTCGGCCAGTTCGCCACGGAGGCGCGCGAGCTCCAGCGCCAGCAGATGGCGCCCAAGAAGCGCTTCCAGAAGAGCGCAAGACGATGCAGCGCCAAGCGGGCAGCCCGCCTCCGCGGCGGCCCCGGCCGCAGCCGCTGGCTTGCCCCGCCCCAGCAGCTGCCGCAGCTGCGCGGGAGGAGGGGGAGGAGGAGGAGGAAGGAAGGAACGTTTTTTTTGTTTTTGTTTTGTTTGTTTGTTGTTTTTTCGGTAAAAAATAATACAACTATATATAATTATACAAAAAACGAGGACCCGGCATCACAGGATTGTGAAAACATAATGTGCGCGACGCACAGGCGAGAGCCACATGTTCAAAACCACTCGCCCTTCCACGAAGCCTTTGCACATGTTTAAAACGAATGTGCACGGTGCTAAGGCGAGAGTCACATGTTGATAACCGCCCTCAATATGTGGAACTCTGACAAATGTTTGATGCGAGAGCTACATTTTGAAAACGACCTGCCCGCCTTGTGTGAAACTGCTGCCAATGTGTAAGCTTCAGGGTCACAAGTATTGAGGGAAGTCTCACGCGAAACGCCCAGCCTGCCCGTTGGGCTGGCGACAGGGAGGAGCTATCCGCAAGGACAGGGGACGGAGGAGGACGGGGGCACTGGGGAGGCGCGATGGGAGGGGGGAGGGGGAAGGCGGGATGAGGGGGGGAGTGGAGGAGGGGGGGGGGAGGAGGGGGCAGGAGTCTGAGGCAGCAGTGGGGGGGGGCGGGGGGGGGAGGAAGGCAGGGACACAGTCCCCCACTTCGCAAGGCCCGGGTCCTGGGCCCCCCCCCCCGGGGGCCCACCGCCCGGGAGGACTACGCCAACAACGGCTCCGCCATGCCAGAGTCCCACGAGGAGCCTGCCCCTCGCCCGCGCGCCCTCCTGCCCGCCTGGTGCGGGCGAAGTGGGGGCGGCCAGGGGGGGGCGAGGATCCGAGGATAGGCCGACGGCCACCCCTGCTCCCTCCTCCCTCCTCGCTCCTCCCTCCTCCCTCCTTCCTCCTCCTCCCTCCTCCCTCTTCCCTCTTCCCTCCTCCCTCCTCCCGCCTCCCTCCTCCCTCCTCTCTCCTCCCTGCTCCCCACGGCCAGGGACGAGGATGGGCCAGACGAGAAAGCAGACAGCTCCAAGCAGGTTTTTTGGATCGGCGCTGGCCCCCCCTCCGAAACTTGTGCTTATGCGCTCCTCTCTTCTGGTCGTTTCGGAGCGGTCCAGAAGGCTCTCCGGGTGTCTCGGAGCGCTCCGGGACGGCCGCGGTCCCCGCACGCCCTCCCTCCAGACCCGCCCGTACTCAATCCCAGTGTATCCTCATCTTGCCGTCGTCTTACGCAGAGCAACAGCAGTTCCTGTCCATTCTGCACGGGGCTCACTGTCGGTGCCGCCACGGACGTTGTGCGCGTGGGACAAGCGCCGCCTGCCCGACAGCGGACGGTTCGGGAGAGCATCTGCTGCTGCGCATCGTGCCTATTTCTATTCCGTCCCTATTCTGGGCGTGCTAATCCCCAGGCATCCCACCCAGTGCTCGCCCTCGTTTGCCCACTGATTGCCCTGGCCTTGTTCAGGAGGGGAAACAACGCAGACACACTTCATCGTCGACCCCCAGGAGAGTATGGAAAATATGGGAGGTGTAAGGGGGGGACAACCGTCCAGAGAATGTTGGAATCGATGGGGGATCGCGGAATTTGGGTACATCTCTTGGAGTGTTCCTGGGCGGGCCCCTTCAGATCCCTAGACTTCCCCCCCCCCAGTGCTCGCCCTCGTTTTGCCCACTGATTGCTCTGAACTTGTGTGTCGGCCACGATGGGCGCTGGCGTCCACCGTGCTCGCCAGGGACACCGGGAGGCTGGGTCCACTGACGAGGCCGAGGCGCCCTTGGGCCACAACACTTCGGGCCCTTCCCAGACCATCGTGTCGAGCTTGCTCGAGGGTCGAGGTTCGAGGATGTTTGCTTCTGTTCTTCCTCCTCCTGCGTGCCGGCCAATTCGCTTTGTAGTGCCCCTGCATTGCTGCCACGCTGGAGCGGATTGCCCCGCCTCTCTGCCGACGGAAAAAAAAGGTTTCTGTGCTTCTTGGCTGTTCCGTAGCCTGACTGTAGAAGGGTCTGCCAATATTCTCTCTGAGTAGCTAGTTGGGGCGCTGCCACTCCCAGTGCCCCCCGGGTCTCCCCAGGGCCCCCCAACACCCCCCAGTACCCCCCAGTACACCCCAGCCCTCCAGGGCCCCCAAGGGTTCCGAGTGCCCCCCATACCCCCCAGTGCCCCCCAGTGCCCCCCAGTACTGAGAATTTCCGATTACCCCAGAGGGCCCCCCATTGCCCCCCAGTATGTTTCTATACCCCCCAGGGCTGCCCAGGGCAACCTAGTGTCTCCCCCCCTGGTACCCCCAGTGCCCCTCATTGTGTTCAGGGCCCCCCCCAGGGCCCACCAGTGCCCCCTAGGTACCCCCAGTACCCCCAGGGCCCACCAGTACACCCCAGCACCCGCCGGTACATCGCAGTACCTTCCAGTACCCCCCAGGCCCTCCCAGTGCACCCAAGTACCCCCAGTACCCCCAGCGCCTCCCAGTAATTACCCCCCCAGGTCCCACCAGGGCCCCTCAGTATTCCCCCACAGTGCCCCTCAGTGCCCACCCAGGTTTCCCAGGGCTCCCAGGACCCCCCAGGGCCCCCCAGGTTCCTCCAGGGCGCGGTACGGTATTGTCCGGCACGGCAGATGCGGCCAGTGCGGTTTTGCCTGGTACGAGAAAGACTTTTGGTACGGCATCGTCCGGCACGGTGGCCACGGCCAGTACAGTATCTTCTGGTACGGCGGCCGCGGCCGTGTGGCGCGGTACGGTATGGGCCGATACGCGTTGGCCAGTATTTGGTACGGTAGTGGCCATCATGCAAGATTGTTCCGATATTTTTCCCATGTGTGTTTACAATCCGAGCGTTTTTGGCTGTATTTCAGTATCGGTGCGTTGCCCCCCCTCGTTCAGAATGGTGCTCTCGCCTCAGCGCAGGCCAGTTCTCTGGATCTGAATATTTTCTTGTCGCTGTCGCTCCCTCAGTTCCCCTCGTGCGGCTTCCCCTGGTCCTTCTGTTCCTCCCGCTCCTTTCTTCAGCCCCTGCTGCTGCTGCTGCTGTTCGTTGTTGTCTTCGCCTGTCCTGTTCGTTCTCGTTCTTTCTCCTGCTTCTCCTCTTGCTCATCCTCATGCTCATCGGCCGCCTCATCCTTAATTTAATATACGCAGCTCCCATTTCTCCGACTGCGCAGAGCAGTATTGCGCATAACACGGCGGAGCCTCAGGTCCGCTGTGACACTCGTCCACTCTCACGTCTCCGTTTGCCTCCCTCCGTTCACCCCTCCTTTCCTCACCGTTCCTCCTATCCCCTCCTTTGCACTGCTCCTCCGTCTACACCGTGTTCCCTTCTTGGCATTTCTTCGACCCTCCCCCTTCGGTCCTCCCTTTTCCGTCCTCGTTTCTCCCTTTGTTCTCCCTCTTCACTTGTTTCTCCTCCTTCCTGCCGCCGTTGCGTCCCTCCTCCCCTCTCGCTCCTCCCTCCCCGCTCACACTTCTCCCTCCCAACGCACCATGCACGTGTGTGGTGCGCTTGCTTGCTGGATTGCTTGAAGTTTGCCCTCTCCTCCCCCTCTTCCCAGTGCAATCCGCGCAATTCGAAAGGATGGGAGAGGGGGGCAGAGTATCAGATGTGGCGCGATCGCGCCCGGCTTGCCCTCCTCCCCCCCTTCCCCCCCTCCTTTTTCCCTCCTCCCTCCCCTCCCACCCTCCCTCCTGCCCCTCCCAGGGAAGGCCTGGGGGCACCCGAGTGGGTCCCCACCTCCGTCACCAAAGGGGGGGACCCCCCCCCCGGCGTCGGGGTTGTGGTTCTGGGCCCCTGGCCGCGGAAAGCGCCACCCGCAGGACGCAGCTTCTTGCAGGGCTGGCCCCGTGGCATTCCGCCTCATCTTGCCCCTCCTCCGTGCTCTGTGTCCCCCCCTCTTGGCCTCCTAGATGGGGTCGGAGTAGATGAGGTCGGAGGATCGCGCCGCATCGCCGATGCATCGGCGATGCGGCTCGATGTGCGGCCCGATTTGCTTCACGTCGACCTCGCCGATGCATCGCCGACGTCGACGATGCATCGCCAGTGCATCGTCGACACGTCGCCGATGCATCGCCGATGTATCGGCGATGCGGCGCGATCCTCCGACCCCTACCTACTCCGACTCCATCTGGGAGGCCTCTACCCCCCGCTCCCCCGCGCGCGTCCCGCCGGCCCGGCCAGCGCCGCGCGCCCGGCGCCCCCGCCGCGGGGGGGGCGCCGCCGCAAGGGGGTGGGGCGCGGCGGCAGCGGCGCGGCGGCGCGGCGGCCCATGGGGGTGCCAGGGCTGCTGCGGGCGCTGGAGGAGCCCCCTTCTCGAGGGAGGGGAACCACCTCGACCCCGACAGCCTTTAGTCGGGCATGTCCCTCTTCAGGAGGAGTATTCAGAAATAGTCGAAACATGATCGGGCGACGATGTCTGGACTATTTTCGATCATTTTTCCCCGATCAGAGCTTGCCTCTGTAGGGGTCCTCGTGGATTCTTTCCCCAATCAGAGCTTGCCTCTGTAGGGTCCTAGCGGATGCATTTGGTTAGGTTAGCTGTGGCCCAGGTGCCCGGGTGCCCGGGTGCCCTGGTGCCTGGGTGCCCAGGTGCCCGGTGGCCCTATAGCCTTATAGCCTTATAGCCTAATAGCCCTATTGCCCTATAGCCCTATAACCCTATAGCCCTATAGCCCTATAGCCCTATAGCCCTATATCCCTATAGCCCTATAGCCCTATAGCCCTAATAGCCCTATAGCCCTAATAGCCCCAATAGCCCTACAGCTTTATAGACCTACAACCCTGCAGCCCTATAGCCTTATAGCCTTAAAGCCTGACGGCCCTGTAGCCCTATAACCCTATAGCCCTATAGCCCTATAGCCCCTATCGCCCTATTGACCTGGCTCAAGTAACCGTCTGGGCTCAAGTAACCGTCTGGGCTCAAGTGTCCAAGGCATTCAGCTTCAGATCATACGCTCCGGATTGCGACCACCACCATGGACAAGACCGGAAAGAAGAAGGCAGAGTCGGCCACGGGCTCGACGCCGCAGGACAAGAAACAACAAATTGAGGACGAGACGGAGGAGATGGAGGAGGATAACATGGAGGGGGTGAAGGCGAAGTGGACATGAACATGAAGGATATGATGAAGATCAACATGAAGGACATGAAGGAGATGAAACAGATGATGACGAAGAGCGATAATATTGCGCAGGAGGGCAAGAACGAGGCGGCATCGGCGAAGCAGAGTGCTATCCAGACGCAGCTCGCAGTAGCCGGTTTGGAAGCGGACGTCGTCAAGCTGAAGGACAAGGTGATCACGACAGATAATTTCAGCGAGAATTTCAAAAAAGAGGCACTCTATTTCAGATTAGGTCAGGATGTCAGCAGGGGAGGGGGAGAGAAGGTAGCAGTCTTCGGTGGGTTGGGGGATTTGTTAGAGCAATCGGCGGAGGAGTGGGTGACCAAGAAGCTCGAGGAGCTAGGGATCACGCCTGCCACCGAGATTTCCTACAAGGGAGAGGAGTTCAAATGCCTCTTGTTTGCGAAGTTTGACATGGAAGATGATGTAACCAAATTGGTGAAAGAAATGCGAGGGAGCAAAGAGAAAGCAGGAGAGAAGGAGGTTTGGTGCAAGCCTGACCGGCCGGTCGCCGAGAGTGCCCAGCTATCCTATCTTCTTGGTTTGCGGTGGAACCTCTTGAACTGGGGCTTTTCCAAGAACGAGCTGAAGGTCGACGAAACCACCATGACCCTGAAGGTGTGCCAAGTACCAGTGCTCAAGGTCAAAGTTGAGGACAAC